TGAATGCTGCGTCTTCAGAATAAAACAAAAGCAGCTCTGAGCTATGGGACGTGATCAAACGTACTGACTGACAAAGAGCCTGCCTGACAGCACTAGCCCGATGTACTTCGTGGTAACCTCTGTGCAAGGCTGGCAAAATGTAGCTTTTTCTAACTTCCCTGCCAAGTGGCTGACTTCTTTGACAAAGAGTTCACTTATGTCAGCTGTCCCTTCCAGTTCCAGTCAATTGGTTTGCAAGCCGAGCATGAGGTTTTCTGGCTGACTCTGGCTTGGACGTACAGGCTGAGTGTCATCCTCGCACAGCCCAGAAAACTTTCGGAGAGTGAGTTGTGGCAGAAGGCAGGATGGTATCTCATGATCCTCCCCCCCGCATGTAAATTTGATGCCAGAACTTGACCTGTTGCATCTTTCTAAAATAAAGCCACTAACAGTGGAAAGTCTCTGCTCATACATTACCTGCTCTCACCTCCCCAGTGAAACTGCTAGGGAAACATCCCAGTTCTTTTGTTTTATTTTTGTAGTATGCTTACATGTATTAAGACCTTTTATCATTAATATTTATACAGTACATATAAAATATTTTGCCTTATTTGCGTTCTTTGTGAATTACAACAGTGTGCTTTCAGTCAGCTCAGCTGGTTCTCCAAAACACATTGAAAACACATTTCTTACGGCTGAACCCTTACGAGTAGATTCTTGGCTGAGCTAAGTTGACTTCGGTGGAGCTGTGCTGCTCACCCAGCTGAGGGTCTGGTCTTTAAAATGGTACATGAGGCAGTGGTCTGTAAGCGAGACTGATTTAGTTCATCTTGCAGAAATATTTCTTTAAACAGTAGTTTTGCAGCAATTTTATCAGATTTCTATCTCACTTTTCAATCCCATTCATGCTCTAAATAGGGCTCACGTCAGACTGAAAGAGCTTGTGGCTCTTTTTTGTACAGAGATGACTTTCACCCAGTATGAACAAGGAGGAGTTGTGAGTCAAAGGTTAATGTTTAACATAGAGCACGGACACATGCCTGTAAATGAGCCTGTGAGATGACATGATCTCTTAAGGAGCCTTGTTTGCGCAAAAGGACTAACATGATCACAGCTCAACATTGCCTATTGTTTTATGGTAAATGTTTTTGCATTATATGGTTGTCTACATGGCATCAGAGTTGTAAATTGGCTACAGCTGCCTGGCCACTCCCTCCTCCCCCCAGCACTCTCATGGTAAAAGAGAGATTTATCTCACAAGGCTACTCTAGGGACCAAAACTTTCAAAAAAGGCATTATTGTGTGACCTTTTTTCTTGGTAAATAAGGAGTGGTTATTACTAAGAAAGCACAAACAGTTCTGAAAGGAGACTTTGTTTCCGTTTTCATGTATGTTTATGTAAGTGTTATTATTTATCACTTGCATGTCCATGTATTGCCCTTAACTTACGGATAGAAGCTAAACTTTGAACCCAAACCCTTTGATAGCTGCGCTACTAGATAGTGTGACTGTAGTCTGGGGTGAGTTCAGGCACAGCAGGGACAAACTTCTTAGAGCTCTGCCCCAACAGACAGTGGGAGAGCAACTGCTCCAGGGCAGCTGGTTCTGGGAACATGAACCCAAGGTTGAGCGCAGCTACCAAAGGCAGCCTAGATACAGCACGATCCAGTCCCACACGTGGATCAGGGACCTAAATACTAACTGAATGAAAATAGAGGGTTACTATTCTAGGGCAATGAGGGGGAGTTTCAAAAGTGCCCACAACTTGACCCACATACTTAGTATTTCTTAGGTATTAAGCTGCTGCTTTCAGTGGGAAACGATACCTCAAGAAAACTTGCTGATCTGGACTATCGATGGGATTAATGCACCTAAATTGCCCACCTGTTTTTTAGAATGGAAATAATCTGTATTAATTCCACCCTAGCGCCTAACCTTTCTGCTATTGAAATCAGCGCCAAGTAATCCATTGAATTCTATGGTGTGGAATCAGACCAGTAAATTGGAAACTCCTCCATCAGGAAATCATATGTGGCCAGAAATGAAAACAGCAGTGAATACTATGTTGATGTTTTCAGGCCCCAGATGATTTTCAGTGTTTGTTTTGGATATGGGTATCCATATGTGAGAGAGTGCTACCAGCTATATTGTGTTTTCCTGCATCTGTCTCTGTGTGGCACTGGTGTACTTTGAGAAATTCTTGAAGATGAACTAAAGATGTGGGATTTTGATGGATTCAACCGCTGTGCAGACATTTATATGCTGTCATTCCATTTTACTCGGTGCATTCCAAAAACTTTGCAGAAGTGCTGAATAGTCCTGACACCATTTATACAGTATGCACATTCATATTTCTATTATACACAGCCAAACCAATTATAATCTTCTGCTACTGTTTTATTGACTGCATTATGTAAAAGCCTTTCTTACAAACTGTTTCATGACTTTTTCAGCTTGCAAGAAGCAAGCTCTTCATCCAGAAAGATGAAAAGCAACAATAGCATCTCCCACCACAGACAGGCAGTCTATATTCTCCTCTCCTGTGTGAGTCATAGGGAAACCTGTTTTTTCAGCACTCTTAGAATATGGAAAATCTAGCCTTTCTGCCACACTGAGATATTTATATATTTTATATATTTTATATATTTTATATTCCTGCCTAAGTATATAGGCTGAAAGGGGCACCCAGAGTGACAGTCGTCTCTTTTGCAAAGAACTAGCACAAGACATGCACTGTTCGAGCTGTCAGGAAAGGTTTTAAGTGGCCACTAAACACTGGAGCATGTATTGGCCTTCTTCAGAGTTGAATTTAACCCCAAACTATGGTATATCTGTATTGAGTATCTAGTTTCAACAGAGGCTCCACCCAAATAGAAGAGGATTCTGAGAATAACGAGTTCTGATCTCCTGCCTTCTAATGTCAAGTATCTTTTATCTTTGGTAAAGAGTTTTAATATGCTGGACTCCTTGTGTCAGGACCCATCTCTTTCATTTGGCCATGTTTACTTTTGATTCACACCTTTTAGCCACAGCTTTTCTGGAAAGTAACGCACTCCCAGTGCAAATAAACTGGTGATTGTGAGGTGTGACCTATTTACCTGGCCTCGAGGAAAGAGGGGTCATCTTAAAACTTTGCTGTAGGAAATGAGGGATTGCACTAGTATCTGCATGACCTAAAATTACTCACTCAAAAGATAAGCAAGGCTATTTAGATCTTGACTTGATTTGGCAAATGGTTATCACTACCACACCCTCTACTTTCCTAACCTGTTTACATGGATGTAGAAATATTTCTAAACATTTCCTTTAGCATGTGGTGCTAAAGCAGATGATATATATGGAAACCTCTCTTTCATGGGAATCGCGAGAACTGGTCTCACTGCAATAATTCTTTCTTTTCTTTCTTCAGTACCCATTAGGTCAGACACTAGACTTACTGTTAATTTCACAGAAGTCATCTATTACGTAGGAGGAAATCTGGGTATTTTAGCTATATGCAGTATTTTAGATAGATCCTGTGTATAAATTCAGTCCCAAGGATTGTAGTGGAATAGGATGAAGAAAGACTCATCAGACAGGTTAAAAGCCAAAAGATTTAAAATTATCTTAAAGAAATTAGAAAAATTAGAAATAAACCATAGGTTTTTAACAGTGAAGATAGTAACACTTGAATGAACTGGCAAGACAAATTCTCCATCTCTTGATTGGGTGGTTTTCTGAAAAATATACT